TTGTCTCCGAAAGGATGGGTCATGCATCTGGCGTTCTAACACAGTCTCATGGGTCATGCCAGCGTCCCATTGGTTACTACCCCTGTCAGTTGGATCTGGTGGCCAGAGGAGAACCCTCCTGTCTTCAGGCAGTGTTTGCGTCAAGTGCTCTCCTGGACAGGATGAACGACCTAATTCTTGGTCATAAGCTTACCATTCTTGCACCCCATGATATTACTGCCATACTCAATCAAGTTCAGCCTAAGCATCTCACTTCGCAGAGACATCTTCGTCTACAAACATCTTTACTTCTACCTGATCATGTCACTTTACAACGATGTTACTCTTTGAATCCTGCCACTCTTTTGCCACTTCATAAGGGGGGAGTACCACACTATTGGTACAGCCTGGACATAGATCCTGATGTCGTCTTTGATCTGGATATCCATGTGCCCACCGTCCCACACAATGAACAGCCATCTCCTCTATGGCATTGCACCTTGTGGTTCAAGAATGTTCTGAGGCCTGACCTTCAGTATGAAGAAGAACTGTTCCAGTTTGTAGAAGTATGTCTCATTTTGACAGACATGTTTTGTGATACAAAAGGCAATACTGTGGTTTTAGTCCAATTACCCATGGAAGTAACTCATATGTACCATCATTGGGATGTGGCAGTTCCTCATGTCTCTACTACTAAATCTCCAGATATCTCATGGAAGGAACTTGGTCGAGTAGCCAAAGCACGGAGCACAACAGATCAAGACCGACTTTCTGCAGAAGGTGTTACCAAGCGAACTGTGAATTGTAAGACAACTGGGTACCCGCAATATCACACAGAAATATGTGAAGATGCCCCTCCCATAGACTTTGACCAAGATGCTCCACATGACTGCTTTGAACAGATGAAGATAGAAACAACTCATCTCCCCACAGTACGTGAAACGGCTTTGCCAGACCCTGACTTCACTCTGTTTGTGGATGGCTCCAGATTTGCAGATAAACGGGGAAGATACCACACTGGATTTACTGTGACCACAGTGGATCAGGTACTTCAAGCATCCCCACTTCTCCGTCCATGTCTGCTCAAGAAGCTGAGCTAACAGCCCTCACCGTAGCATACCAAATGTCTGAAGGAAAGCGTGTCAATATCTACACTGATTCAAGATATGCCCTGGGTGTGGCACACGACTTTGGACTGATATGGAAGACAAGAGGTTTTCTGACAGCAACTGGTACACCAGTCAAACATGGTACAGCTATCAAGGAACCGATGCATGCTTTGCTCCTTCCTGAAGAAGTGGCCGTACTGAAAGTAAAAGCCCATGGAAGACGGAAGAAACATGTGGCAATTATAAAGCTGACCAAGCCGCCAAAGATGCTGCATGTCGATCAAGGGAAGTGGACAGAAGAGTGTCCGGTGAGGAAACTCCCATATTTACTATGCAAACCTTACCTACAGACCTTAGGTTTTTGAAGGAACAGCAAGCAGCTGTAAGTCCTGAAGAAAAGCAAAGTTGGAAACGGAAAGGAGCGACCCTGCAGGATGGAGTGTATACTATTAATCTCAAATTTTGTCTACCAAAAAGTATGTATCTGGCTGTGGTTCAATGGGTCCACAGAGCAGCGCACCTGTCTAAGACCCTCATGGACTCTTTGATTAATAAATATTTTGAAGCACCAGGTATTACCTCCCTGACAAAAAACTACTGCAAATCTTGTGTTATCTGTGCCAAGTGAAGGAAAATGGAGAAAGTTTTCCCGAAACATCTGGCGAAACCACACTATCCATTCCAGTGAGTCCAAATTTACCATATTCAGATGCCAAAGAGTGGCCGGTATGAATATGCCCTAGTTATGGTGGACATGTTCTCAGGATGGCCAGAAGCTTTCCCGGTTACCAATATGACCACCAAGACCACTGCCAAGCGTTTGCTCACTGAAATTGTTTGTAGATATGGAGTTCCTGAAGTGATTGTAAGTGACCAGGGCCCGGCTTTCACCGCACAAGTGATTAAGGAGGTCTGGGCAGCATAGGGTGTGGGGAACGCAAAGGTCACCCCCAATCACCCACAGAGTAGCGGAAAGGTAGAATGCATGAATAACACTTTAAAGGCCAGAATGCTTAAGATGGCCCAAGAAACTAATTTGCCCTGGCCAAAGCGTCTCCCCCTAGCTCTGTTTAGTGTTAGGTACACACCAAGGAGGAAGTTCAGTTTGTCCCCCTATGAGATTTTATTTGGTTCGGCTCCTAGGTTAGGTTGTTATTTTCCTCAACAACTTCAACTGCAATCAGATGCAGTGGTTAATTATTTGACTGCTCTTTCTCAAGCCTTAAGCAAGAAACATGCCCAAGTGTTTTCTTCCATTCCAGATCCAGAGTCTGATACAGGCACTCACAAGTTACTTCCTGGTGACTGGGTTCTGGTTAAGAAATTCCTGAGGAAACATACCCTTGAGCCAAGACATGATGGTCCATTTCAAGTCCTTCTGACCACGTCTACCTCAGTTAAATTTCTAGGTAACTTCACTGGCATATACTGTGCCACATATAGTCTAGTTCCACCTGCTTTAATCCAGCAACACATGAAATCTCTGGGAGACATATACTGGATATGTGGGGACATGCAGGTTAGAACCAGATTGGAAGGCCTATGGTGGGGAGAATGTGCCCTAGCTAAGGTTATTCTGCCTATACATATAATCTCTGATGGACACCAAGATACATCAGGTATACCATGTTCATACTCTAGGATAAAGAGAGGCACTCCTGTAAAGGGTAGTTTTGACCCCCATGTTTATATAAATACCATAGGAGTGCCAAGGGGGGTGCCGAATGTATTTAAGGCAAGAGACTAAGTATCCGCAGGGCTCGAATCTATTTTTCAAATTATTACAGTTAATAAAATGTTTAATTGGATTAACTATATTTATTATAACCAACAACGCTTTGTAAATTACAAAAGGGTTCCAGGGTTTGGCAGATCAATTACAGGCTACTTCCCATATGACCTTCCAGAATAGAATGGCTCCAGACATGATTTTGGTGGAGAAAGGGGGAGTATGTAAAATACTCCCAGACTCTATGACATGCTGCACTTTTATCCCAGATAATACAGGTTCTAATGGTAAGGTAACTTTGGCAATAGAAAATTTAAGGAGTTTGTCTAATGAGCTGAAACGGAATTCTGGGGCCACAGATCCATGAGAACGATGGTTTGGATGGATGCCTGGATGGCAAGGTGCTCTGGCCCAAATAGGTGTGGCCATTCTAATAATGATAGTTATCCCCGTTCTTCTTGTCTGTTGTGTGTTACCCTGTCTTAAAAAGTGCTTACAAAGGACAGTTGATCAGATGATTGACCAGACTACCTCGACTTTCCTTCACCAAGAGTTTGATGACGGGGACCGTGATACACCACATACACCTTTACGGGCAGAAGTCTGTCGTGGGAGAGGTAGTGGACAAGCCGCTACTGGTCCTCAGCGCAGTGAAGCGTTTGAGGCCTGTTCAGACAGATGAGCTGCAGTCTATTAGGGACAGTATTAGGGTTAGATGTAGTAGTTGTTAGTAAATAGCCATTTTAAAGGGGGACTGTTATGGACAAAATATTTGACTCAGTAAAATGTCTATTTACTCTGAATAGCTAATATTCAGTATAATTCAAAGTCACTCAAAATGGCCGCTTAGGGCTGCCCCTCCCATCGAGTAAACCACCTTGTGTACCAAAATGGAGCTGGGATACAAAGGAATGCTATATGATGATGGGGTCACACCCAGTGGAATGGTATTAGGAAAGACCCCTTAGACTTTTAACCAATTGTTGAATGTATATTCTTCATTACCTATGACTATGCATATAACATATTTCTGTCTTATAAGGGGTTTCCCACCCCTCAGAATAAAATTTTCCTCAAGTCTTTCATTGACCAGAAACTTGTGTCCGGTGTGAATTACTTTAGGAAGCGTGCACGCAACTAAATAATGATTTGGACAGGGGCAGATAGTCAAATAATCAAACACTTGATTTGATCCTTAACAAAGGGGCCTAGGAAAATTAACCTGTTAAACACCGTTAGGGAGGCATAGTACGCCGCAGCGTTTAAGCCCATCCACATTTCCCCGATCCCTCCCAAGTTGCAGTTCGCGGTGGGGGGGCCTTCCTGGCAACCCAGGCAGCCCCCATGGAGCCAATCAGTGGTGATCTGACCTTTGTAATCGCAGTGACAGCCAGTCACTGCGATCACTGTTAAAATGTGTCAACCAATCATTTTAAATCACTGGTTGACACATTGTCTCTGCCCCTGGCATAACTGTTATGGTGGATGCTTGAGAGCTAATTCAATATTTTGATCTCTTCTTGTCAGAAGACATTTTTCTTTTTTTTTTCATGTTTAAATCTTTATTTCACTTTTTCAAATTACAGAAAAAACAGACAAAAGAAAAAAAATATTTGCTAAAATATTTGGATGCCAGATAAAAATAGGGGGTCAAATTTATGAATGTTTTTAGTTTGTTTTCTTTATATTATGGATTTAACCTCTAATGAATAAAATAAATAAATGAATAATATACGGAAAGGGAAAAATACCATTCACAATGCAAGATATTCTATTACCATCTTTTACTTTTATACATCTTACAATCTCTTCTGACTTATTTTCTGCTTCCGTGACACTTTTTTATATCTTTACATCACTGAATTCTTTTTTACATTAGGCATTTCTTTTTTATCCCTTCTGATATACTTTATACATATCCTGATTCTTGTATTAAATTAGGTTTTTTTTTTTATATATTTTTATTTGTGCATAGCTGTTTTGACATACATTCTCAGGTTGCGCCAAGAGCAATCCTTGAGTTTCCATTTATGCTTAACAGCAGGAGCAGTAAAAAAAATCGGCACAATTGTTTTGTAATAACAATTAACAGGTAACTAATAGCGTAATAGCAGGTTGATTCCTCAGACAAGTGAGTAGAGGGAGCAGAGTATGTAGTTTGTCACCATTGCCCTGAGCGTTGGGTTGGTTTTAACGTATAGAGAAAAGTGGCTGGTAAGGAGCCGTAGACAGAGAAAGGCATAGAGAAGACATGGAAAGTATTGGAAAACATTTTCCTCGCTAATGACTGATGCTAATGACTGATGCTAATGACTGATGCAGAGGGGTTATTTAACTCAGTTGCTTCTCTCTTATGGCCGCAGGCCTATGTGACAGTCCCCCCCCTCTGGGTCAACCAACTCCAGTCCTTAGCAGAATGGATGTGTCATCCATCAGGTGTTCTTCGCCCACATGGGGACATCTCCAGCCCCAGGCTTGTTCGAGGGCCGGCATCTGTGTTCCACAGACCTGATTTCTGCAGCAGTCCAAGTCTATTCCCTGCCGGGAGTGATCAGAGGGTCGCGGACGATCTTCCAACCTTGTGGGCGATGCAGGGTATGTATGCCCCTTGTGGCTCTCAGCTTGGTAAGGCGAGCTGTAGGTTTTGTGTTTTTCCTCGCTGGAGTGCCGCCTTGAGTAGGTCTCCTCACAGGCAGTCGTGCTGAGTTCCCGGCTCCTTTCCACTTGCTTGCCTCAGTAGCTTGGGCTCAGTGGTTTAAACAGAGCCAGAAACGGTGGAATATGGCATCCAGCTTCTTCAGGATGTCTGCCATGTGGTCTTTGGTGATTGCTTGCTTGGGAGTGGCATCCGCCATTTTGCAGCGGCTGTATTTTGCTCAGCAGTCTTGTCTGAGTGGTAAGTGTTAGCGTAGTCGTTCTAGTAAACTTTAGGTGGACTAGGTTAACCCCCACCAGTCCAGGGGTGGTAGGAGTGCTGCAGTGCCAAACACCAGTTAGTAGCGCGGGTGGATCGGCCGCCTCCTCCACTGCCTCATCCCAGGTAGGCCGCAACAAGGCTCCCGGGCTCTCCGGGTGAGTGAGTGCTGGCTTGTGTTCGGGTTTTGCAAGCCCGGGTCCCCTGACCTTTGTTATGTGGGTTGTTGTCTGTGGAAGCCCCAAAATCAGGTAAAATACCCCAAAATCCAGCTTTGTTTCAGGAGCTCTGGCTTTCCACGTCTTGTCGGCTCAGAGGTCAGGCTCCGCCCCTAAATTAGGTTTTTATACCTCCTTCTCTATAAAGAAGAAAAAAATAAAATTAAAAAAATAGATAAAATAAAAATGTACATTTAATTATAGTAATTCTCTTTCTTTGAATCTGCATTTCCAATTTTATTATATATCAAATTTCATATCAACCGTCTATATCAATCTGTTACTGTTGCTTGAATCTCAAACACTTTTTTTCTGCTCTTGTTCTCTTTCCCTCGTCTCTCTTCCCTTCCCTCTTTCTTCGTTTGTTTTGTTCCACCTAATTTTTATTAGCCATCTGTATCAATGAAGCTATTTTGCTTATTTCTTTCCCCTTGTTTTCTCTTAATTTCCTCTCATTTCATTTCCACCTCACCCAAATTTTAACATTAATATCTTGTTTGCCTTTTAGCCTACATGCCATCTCCTCGTAGATTTTGGTAGTAGAGACCTTTTCCCTTATTATACTTAATGATGGCACATGTTTTGTTTTCCATAAATTGGTTATAGCATTTTTTGTAGCCATCAAAATATGTATAATTAGCACTTTTTCTTGTACCAATATTCTCTCTGGCATAATGTGTAGTAGGAATATTTCCAGTTGCAGGGGCATCAATGTGTTTGTAACTTTAAAAATTAATTGTTGAATGTATTTCCATACATCAATATTTTTTTTACACTGCCAAAATATATGGGTCATAGATACTTCCATTTCCCCACATGTCCAGCATGTCCCCACGTTCTCTGGATATATTTGCGCCAATTTTTGTGGTGTCATGTACCACCGTAGCCACATTTTGTATGTTGCTTCGATATGCTGTATATTATGTGTGGCAGCCTTAGTTGATCTCATAGCCATATGCCATTGAAAGGGCTCCCACTCGTTGTTTAGCTCCTTCTCCCAATTTAACATAAAAGGCAGTTTCTCTGGTTTTGCTAGATTTAATATTCCGCTATAGCTTATTGATAGAGGCTTATCTTGGAGTCGTCTCTCCAAACATAGCCTCCCAAAATCATTCACCCTAGAATTTTCCACCTCCTTCACTTGACGTTTCATTAAAATATGTTTCAATCTGAGATATGTATAGAGTTCCCTGTTATGAAGATCATATTTAATTTGTATATCTGGGAAATTATGTATTGCTGAGCCAGCTATTGTTGTGTTTTTCTTATATAATCCTTTTTCTATAATAATCCTTTCTTTTTCCATGTTGTTATGTGTAAATCTTTTGTATAATAAGTTAAACTTTGCAGAGTTCCATAGTAAAAATAATTGCCTTTCCCCATGTAACGGATCGCCTGGCACCCCGACTGGGTACCTCCGTTGAAAGATGCTCCTAGCGCTTCCTGAGGACTCCAAGCACTGCAGCCGACACCACAATCACCGAACCAGAGAAGCGTATACCTTCTCTCAAGCATATGAATGCTGTAGACAGTTGAATAGGAACCATACGAATAGGTTTACTCTCCTAGCAGTCAAACTGGAACAGCATACAATAAATCCTTCCCCCAATAATGAGACGACACTTCACTTTGAGGGTTAAAACAGGAACTCCGGTGCTGGCACACCCAGCCTGGTTTTTATTACAGTCTTGCAAATACAGGACCGCCCACAGGGAGGTATAAAACAACCAATCACATCACAGTTACATCCCACATATTTCCTCCCCTTATCCTGAGAGGAAACTCAATTATACATACAGTTAAAACATACTTTCTACCCAACTTTCATAACTCCAAAACCATACATCACATTCACATAAAATTACATATTCACAATCAATCCATTCAGGGGAACAACATATTCAAAAATGGCACAAATCAGACAAGGGGTTCAAAAGTTAGTAAAAAGTCCTTTGTGACTAAATGAAGCATGGCTTTCTGGCCCAAACCAGTTTTAGAGTCTTCTATCCTGGAGATAAGTAATTCAATTATCTCCCAGGACAGACACAAGACTCCATTAAGCACATGGTTGCAAAAAGACACAAAACACTTTAAAATACATAAAGTAACCTTTACACATAACACACAGACATTTCACATATCCCCAGATAGCTGGGATCTGAGTGCACATTATTAGATGAATGGCACTCAGATCACACAAATAAGCCTTTCTGCAGGGGAAATAAACGGTTTAACCTGCAGGGCCATAGTCCAAAGGGAGCAGGCGAGCAACCAGGCTTCTCCAGTTCACAGTGGCGAGGTTGGTTTCGCCACACTTCTCCCCTTTACCAACTAGACTAACAGGGTATCTGACCTCCTGCCGGTCAGTGCCCTGGTTAGTCCAGCAACCCACCCACAAAACAGAAACAGCAGTACAGCCCACCCACAATAACTGGTTACTACACCTGGGTAGAGGAGAACTTTGTCCATGTCCAGGTGCCTCACCACGACTGTGTGGGCAACTGTTAGGCTGCCTTGGTGGGTTGCTGAGTGGGCAGAGACCAGCGGTACTCTGCCCTGATGCCAGTGCTACCACGGAAGTAGCCTGGTGGGAGCCTGGTTGTGGGAGGGAGAGACCGACTGTCTCCCCTCTGGATACACCGCTCTGTGGCTGGGGAACAGGACCGACTGTCCCTACCCCTTGTGCTGTAAGTGCAGAGACTACAGTCCCATCTGCACTGTTGGGGTGTAACATCTCCCCTTGCTGGGTTAGGCTGCCGCTGGAGAGAGGGTGTAACAAGCTCCTCTCTCTGAACTGTAAACTGCCGCTGGGGAGAGGGGGTATCAGGCTCCTCTCCCTGACACTCTCTCTGCTGGTGGAGAGGGGGACCAGCTGTCTCCCCTTTCATTATTTTGTCCTGTGGTTGGGGTGCGAGACTGATGGTCTCTGCTCCCTGCAGGACACTCTGCCGCTGGGGAGGAAGGACGGCACCTTCAGCTCCCTGGGGTACACACTGCCGCTGGGGAGGAAGGACTGCACCTTCAGCTCCCTGGGGTACACACTGCTGCTGGGGAGGAAGGACGGCACCTTCAGCTCCCTGGGTACACACTGCCGCTGGGGAGGAAGGACGGCACCTTCAGCTCCCTGGGTTACACACTGCCGCTGGGGAGGAAGGACTGCACCTTCAGCTCCCTGGGATACACACTGCCGCTGGGGAGGAAGGACGCACCTTCAGCTCCCTGGGATACACACTGCCGCTGGGGAGGAAGGATTGCACCTTCAGCTCCCTGGGGTACACACTGCCGCTGGGGAGGAAGGACTGCACCTTCAGCTCCCTGGGGTACACACTGCCGCTGGGGAGGAAGGACTGCACCTTCAGCTCCCTGGGGTACACACTGCCGCTGGGGAGGAAGGACTGCACCTTCAGCTCCCTGGGATACACACTGCGCTGGGGAGGAAGGACTGCACCTTCAGCTCCCTGGGATACACACTGCCGCTGGGGAGGAAGGACGACACCTTTGGCTCCCTGGGACTCACACTGCCGCTGGGGAGGAAGGACAACACCTTCTGCTCCCTGGGACACACACTGCCGCTGGGGAGGAAGGACGACACCTTTGGCTCCCTGGGACTCCTTTTTGGCCAAATCTACTAGAGATTGCAGGTATTCTCCTACTAGTTTACTGGCGAGCTGCACGGCTCTCTCTGGGGGGTTGGGTCCAAAGGTAGACAGCACCTCATTAACCTCTCTGTCAAACTCCTCCTGAGTGTAGTCATACGCCATGCTTGCTCTGCTGAAGTTAGTTCTTTTGTAGATAGGGTCGCTGTACGGGTACTAGCTGCCCTCAATTTGTAAATCCACGAACTGTGTCTCCGAGCTGCTTTACCTCACACTAGGGCGCCATCCCACCGCCCACCAATGTAACGGATCGCCTGGCACCCCGACTGGGTACCTCCGTTGAAAGATGCTCCTAGCGCTTCCTGAGGACTCCAAGCACTGCAGCAGACACCACAACCACCGAACCGGAGAAGCGTATACCTTCTCTCAAGCATATGAATGCTGTAGACAGTTGAATAGGAACCATACGAATAGGTTTACTCTCCTAGCAGTCAAACTGGAACAGCATACAATAAATCCTTCCCCCAATAATGAGACGACACTTCACTTTGAGGGTTAAAACAGGAACTCAGGTGCTGGCACACCCAGCCTGGTTTTTATTACAGTCTTGCAAATACAGGACCGCCCACAGGGAGGTATAAAACAACCAATCACATCACAGTTACATCCCACATATTTCCTCCCCTTATCCTGAGAGGAAACTCAATTATACATACAGTTAAAACATACTTTCTACCCAACTTTCATAACTCCAAAACCATACATCACATTCACATAAAATTACATATTCACAATCAATCCATTCAGGGGAACAACATATTCAAAAATGGCACAAATCAGACAAGGGGTTCAAAAGTTAGTAAAAAGTCCTTTGTGACTAAATGAAGCATGGCTTTCTGGCCCAAACCAGTTTCAGAGTCTTCTATCCTGGAGATAAGTAATTCAATTATCTCCCAGGACAGACACAAGACTCCATTAAGCACATGGTTGCAAAAAGACACAAAACACTTTAAAATACATAAAGTAACCTTTACACATAACACACAGACATTTCACATATCCCCAGATAGCTGGGATCTGAGTGCACATTATTAGATGAATGGCACTCAGATCACACAAATAAGCCTTTCTGCAGGGGAAATAAACGGTTTAACCTGCAGGGCCATAGTCCAAAGGGAGCAGGCGAGCAACCAGGCTTCTCCAGTTCACAGTGGCGAGGTTGGTTTCGCCACACCCCAGAAGTTTAGGGGCCCAGTAACTCCACAACCTCAGAGATATTTGTGTAGTGGATAGGAAATTATAGTTTCTAAGATAAGCGCGATGTGTTATCCAAATGAGATCCAATATCTCCTATTGTGGGACAATGGATTGTTCTAATATATGCCATAGGGGTATACTAGATGTATCTATTAGTGCTGCTGCTTGTGCCAGTATGGAAACTATATAATATTTTTTGAATATGCGGTACTCCCATTCCACCCTCTGTCATTTTGCAGCTCATTGTATTCAGTGATATTCTTGGGGGTTTGCGTTTCCAAATATGAGCTGTAACGGATCACCTGGCATCCTGACTGGGTACCTCAGTTGAAGGATGCTCCTAGCGCTTCCTGAGGACTCCAAGCACTGCAGCAGACACCACAACCACCGAACCGGAGAAGCATATGAATGCTCTCAAGCATATGAATGCTGTAAGCAGCTGAACAGGAAAAGCATACAATCAGCTTACACTCCTGGCAATCAGCATACAATCCAATTTCCCCAATAACGAGACGACACTTCGTTTTGAGGTCAAGCAGAACTGACTGTACTGGCACATACAGCCTCTTTTATTCACAATCCACAAACATAGTACTGCCCACAGGGTTTTGAAATACAACCAATCAATCCGTACAATACACACAGACACTCCTACACAAAATCCTCCCCTCTGCCTGTGATATGATTACTGAACACAATGGTTAATATAATTATCACAGGCAGAGAAATACAGTATTATAAAACATATCACAGGGACCCCAAAACATAAATTATATCCTCGGAACCAGGGGATCTGGGTGAACCACATATCCAAAAATCACCCAGATCCGTTGAGTAGTTTGGAAGATACAGTTTAATGCAGATTCCGCAGAACATATATGAAAAATAATTACTGTATGATGTGTCCTCTGTTGTAGAGTTTAAAACTACTGCATGATGTCTTTGTGCACCAAATACCGGCGAGATGGCACCGTGTAGAAAAGTCCAAACAGTGTCTGTGAGTTAAAATGGCCACCATCCATTGTTCTCACCATGTGCCTGTGATACATGAAATGGTGGCCACCCAGTAACTACACAGTTTGTCTGGTAGTCTATCCAGCCAGACCAACAGATGAAACACATGGGAAACAGTGCAACAAACGAATTGATTTATAAAAAATATGGACAATAGTCATATCTGTGCACAATCTCCAGTTTTGTCACAGGGCACAAATAGTGTTTTCAAATGCCTTATATATCCCAGGGCCAGAGTCAGAAGGTAGGAGGCGGGCAAGCAGCCCCCTCCAAGAACATGTGGCAAGGTCTGTTCCGCCACATGAGCATTTATTGTTTTCTGAAAATTTGTAATAATTGATTTAGGGATCATTATTGGTATGGATCTAAAAAGAAATAAAATCTGTGGTACTATGCACATTTTAACAGAATTGATCCGTCCCGCCCATGATCTGGTGCTCTTGTCCCAGTGTTTTAGTGTATGTTGTACTTCTCTTAGTAATTTGCTATGGTTATTTTTTATCATTTCCTGTTTCGAAACTGAAAGATGAATACCAAGATATTTTATAGATTTATTTCTCCAATCGAATGGCTATTCATCTTTCAGCTTTCGAACAGTTGGCTCTTGCATATTAATAGGTAAGGCTTGGGTTTTAATAATATTATTTTTATAATACGACACTGTGCCATATTCCTTCAATAAATCCATCAGCGGCATTATTGTTTTGTCTGGATTTGTTAGTATTATCAGGACATCGTCCGCAAATCAGGCCACTTTTTGAGGTCCTATGTGAGTATTTAGCCCCGTTATTTGAACTTGTTTATCTATCTTATATACTAGGGGTTCAAGGGTCATAATAAAAATCAATGGAGAGAGGGGACAGCCCTGTCTTGTTCTATTAGAGAGCCGCAATTTACGAGACACAAAACCTGAATTGATAACTCTAGCCATTGTGTTTGTATATAATGAGAGCATACCTTGTTTAAATTTGTTTGGGAGTTGAAATTTATCGAGGACCTTGTCCATGTATTGCCAATGTAGGCAATCAAACGCCTTTTCCGCGTCAAGTGCCAACAAGAATCCCTCAGTTTTCTGTCTTTTCATTATTTCCAGTATATCTATAAATCTACGGGTATTATCCCCCACCTGTCTGCCTGGCACAAAGCCTGCTTGTTCTGCCCCTATCAATTTGGGCAGTAGTGGTTTCAGTCTTAGTGCCATTACTTTTGCAAACAATTTTATGTCTACATTAAGCAGAGATATAGGTCTTAGATTGACGCAGCTAGTCGGTGGCTTTCCTGGTTTTGGTAGTGTTATTATAATAGCTTCACCTGAATCTAAAATGCTATTAAAGTCCTTTGCAAATTTAAAATAGTAATAATTAGAAAACCCATCTGGGCCCGGTGCTTTATGTTTTGAAGTTGTTTTTATAGCTTCCCAGACCTCCTCCTCTGTAAAAGGTTTGTTCAAGATCTCCGCCTCTTCCCGAGTCACGCAGGGTAGTTCAACATCTCTTAGGAAAGTGGAAATCATATTTAATGTGTGTTGTTTTGTATTTGAATCCTCCCTTAAATTATATAAATATTCATAATATAATGCTAACTCATTAACAATTTGATTTGGATCTATCAATTTTGCACCTTTTGTGTTTACCAAGTATGGAATTTTTGATTGTGTTGACTTCTGTTTAATTTGAGACGCCAATAATCTGCCCACTTTATTACCCTGTGTATAATATTTAAATGTACATTTTCTCAAATTACGTTCCGTTACCTTCAATTCTAAATTTTCGAGTTGTTTTTTTAAGTTTAAAAAGTTTATTTCGTAGACAATTATTTAGAGTTTGTTTACATTGTTTCTCTATTTCTCCTATAGATTTGAGGAGTTTTTTCTTTTCCTCTCCAAATTTTAGTTTTGCCCTTGCACCTTGTTTTATAAGTATTCCCCTCACTGTGTCCTTATGAGCTAACCATGTAACTGCTATAGCTGCTATAACTGCTATGTATCCATATTAGTGTTTTATTTGAAAAACTGATTAATTGTATTCCTAATCTATATTTCTCCCGTTTTATTATCTAATAATACTTCGTTCAAACGCCATGAACCCTTGCCTCTTCCCTGATATGAAGTGTCAAATATGGAACATACTGGGCCGTGGTCTGACCATGTTAATGGATCTATATTTACCTTTACTAGAGATTGGAGTGTAGATGCATCTGTCAAACACATATCTATCCTTGAGTAATTTAAATGTACCGCTGAATAAAAAGTATAATCTCTAAATTGAGGGTATTTAGCCCTCCAAGTATCATATAGACCGTGATTTATCATTAATTTTGCTAATCTGGCACTTAAAGCAGCCTTTCTCGTGGTTGGTGTCTCATCTCCTGAAACATCAAACTCTGGATCCAACGTGCAGTTATAGTCACCGCACATATATCATTTGCCTTGTTTATATTTAGAAGACATTTTTTCAGCTAATGGTTGAGCAAGCCAATTTATTTGCCAACTAATATCTGACTGCGAATCTGGGGTCACATTACAATCGGCGAAATATGTGGTACCCTATGGATCTTGCAGAAATGCGCACATTTTGGACCCTAACTCTAGCTTTGGGTATTGTCAAAAAAGCCGAGTATAAGGTCCTATTGATACAAGCAACCCATCCTGGCTACCCCTCTTTTCCCAGGGGTTATGAAGAGGGATCGCTATGAGCAGCTTCTGCGTTTCCTCCACTTCAACGATAATGCACTGTGCCCCCCAAGAAACGACCCATTGTTTGACAGGCTCCACAAAATTTGGCCCCTAATCCAACTCCTGTCAGACAAATTCTTCCAATATTATGTACCTGAAGAAAATATTTGTGTAGATGAGTCCCTAATGAAATTTAAAGGTAGATTACTTTTTAAGCAGTATATCACTTCTAAACGGTCCCGATACAGTGTCAAATTTTACAAATTGTGTGATTTCAAATCTGGATATACATGGGCGTTTTGTATTTATCAAGATAGCCATCTTGACCCACCAGGATGCCCTGATTCTGTGGGTACAAGTGGCAAGATAGTATGGGACCTAATCCTTCCCTTGTTCAATAAGGGAAACAGGCTATGGGTTGACTACTATTATTCAAGCATAGAGTTATTTAAAACTTTTTTGCTTTGAAACCCTAGCCTGTGGCACAGTGCAGAAGAATCGCAGAGGTTTCCCCAAAATCCTGGTAAGAGGCAGTAGAGGCTCCCTTTCAGCACTCCGCCCGGATGAGTTGCTTGCCCTTCGCTTCACCGATAGGAAGGATGTATTCATGCTGTCTACAATGCACAACGAAACTTCAGTGCCAGTGTCTGTGAGAGGTGTGTAACGGAACTCTCCGTACTCCGACTGAGTACCTTCTGTTGATGGACGCTTCCTAGCTTGCGCTGAGGACCACAAGCACCGCACCGGACACCACAACCACCGCAGACTCCACAACCACCGTAGCTTAACTGGAGTCTCGCCATCATCTGTCCACCCTGGATCAGCTTCTGTCCTCCAGGACCATGTGGAGAAGACCTCTCCTCCAGGACAGCATATCAGGAACAAGCTCTTAAAAGAGCTGAGTGATTAAAGATCAGGGGAGTATGCAGATAGCAATCCCCAGTGTGAGTATAGCTGTCCCCTCCAATCACGAGACAAGACTACGTGTTGAGGGTCAAGAAGAACTGAACTGTTAATGACAGGTACTCTCCTTTTATGCAGTGCTCCCATGCAAGGGAGACACCCACAGACAATTAGACATTGGCCAATCATACAATGGTTACAACCCACAGATTCCCTCCCCTCTGCTTGGGAGATAATTGAGTTACTTACTCTATCTACTCAATTATCTCCATGCTAAAAAAATCATACTTTTTAGACATTTTTATAACTCCCTGATTTTACATCATATATTAATAAAACATATTTCTGTGATCATAATAACTTGGGGAGCAACATATGTCAAAATCATATGAATCCGTCCAGGGTTTAAAAGTTAGGTGGAGGTCCCTTTATGACCGACCGCAAGCACATTTTCCTGCCCAAAACAGTTTCATAGATTTGGGCTGTGCGGTTGGTCAATTTCTCACTGAAAACGAGCGTTCAAATCTAAGAACGGGACTTAGTCTCCAGCCACAGTGTTGAAGTGGAGGAGAAGGTACAGGTCAGCGGTGTTCGTGCAACTTGGTAGCCGAAAACAGTTCCATAGATTTGACGACACACACCGCTGACCGCGTTTGAATGAATTAAAATGACTACCTCCACGTGTTCTGTTTTCGAATGGCGGCCACTTCGACTACTTCGGCGGCATCCGAAGTGCCAAGCCAAAACTGCAGGTCTTTTCCCAAAGTACTTGAAGGGTCAGAAACAGTGCAGTAAAATACAATATGCCCAAATACTGTCTTTAAAGGGCAATACCCCCAGGGCCATAGTCGCAGGGTAGGAGGCTGGCAAGCAAGCCTCTCCAGGACCAAGTGGTGAAGGGCACTTTGTCACAAGGTGGAACTGAGCAGCTGGAGAAGCCGAAGTGCATTGTAGACTACAGCAAGTTTATGCGGGGAGTAGACTTGGCTGACCAATGCATAAAACCCTATCTGGTGAACCGAAAGAGTAGGACCTGGTACAAGAAAATTGCAATCTACGTAACCCAGATTGCAATTTTCAACTCCTATGTGCTGTATAAAAAGGAAGCCATAGGTAGAACATACCCATTTCTACAGTTTATGGTCCAAATTTTGTCTCAAATTTTATTTGCCCTAACCCTTCTTTGGAATCTGAAGATGTCCAAAGACTTTTCAGCAAACATTTCCCTTCCTGAATCCCCCCCCCCCCACACCTTGTAAAAGGTCACCCCAACGAAAATGCCGGGTTTGCTGTAAAAGAGGAGTCCGAAAGGACTACAGTTATTATTGCCCCTCCTGTCCATCCCTACCCGCCCTCGGCATAACAGACTGTTTCAAAGTCTATCATACAGAGCTGAACTACTAAATCACTTTGTATGGTACTTTGGCAGTTTGTTTGCTTGATTTCCCTGGATTCCCTGACCTCGGCTTGTCCTGACCACACTTTGTGAGCTGCCTGTACTGACCCATTGTCTTGTTTTACCAACTACTCTGATTTCTGGATTCCCCTAACCTTGGCCTGTCCCTGTTTTATGCTAGCCATTCTAAAGTGGCTACACCAAACAACTCAAAGTACTACATTTATAGTACTTGTTAAAATATGACTTTACAAAGTAAAATTCTAATCACAGGGTTAATACTGTGATTAGCACTGAAAGTGTTAATAAAATCGCTTTTAAAAAAAAACTTCTCAAACTTTTCACACAGTGACTCTCTGTGTGAGATCAAAGATCTCGCTCGCCTTCAGAACAAAGTGTATATGGGAGTACTGTTCTATTTGTGGAAAACCTGCAAAAATGATAAATGGGGTTACTGTTATATTCAGGAGACGATTTTAAATAAAAAAATACTGATCTTTTTATTGCACTTAGGTTAGGCCAAACATATCAATACACACCATTTAGAATTCTCTGAGTTGCCTACTTTTGAAAATGGTATGCTATAATGGTGGAAATGTTATTACCCAGGCTGCTCTCAAAGGCGACATAGGAGTGGAAAATCACTTTGCCAAATTTCAGTGTGCAAAAACATAAATGGATAAGACGTATATTACACCCTATAACTTTCCAAAACCCCATAAAACATATACATAGGGGGCACCATTGCACACGTGACACATCACTGACCAGAAATGTGTTTCAGAGCAGTGAAATGTATAATAACGAAAATATCATCACTGAAAGTACACTTTTTATGTGAAAAATGCAAAAAACAAATCTGAACACCAACTTTGGCTACTGTTTGTGACTAAATGGCTATTACAAAAGACTGGACATAACCCATTTTGAATACCCTGACATGTCTACTTTTCCAAATGGTATGCAATGATGGGGTAATTTTCATTTCTGGGCTGCCATACGGTCTCAAAGGTAACATAGGTCCAGCAAACCAATCTACCAAATTTCTACGTGTAAAAACATAAATGGACAAGCGCTATATTAGACCCTGTAACTTTTCAAAACACCATAAAACATATACATGTGGGGTACTGTTGTACTCATGAGACATCACCGACCAGAAATGTGTTTCAGAGCAGTGAAATGTATAATAACGAAAATATCATCACTGAAAGTACACTTTTTATGTGAAAAATGCAAAAAACAAATCTGAACACCAAATTTGGCTACTGTTTGTGACTAAGTGGCTATTACAAAAGACTGGACATAACCCATTTTGAATACCCTGACATGTCTACTTTTCCAAATGGTATGCAATGATGGGGGTAATTTTCATTTCTGGGCTGCCATACGGTCTCAAAGGCAACATAGGCCCAGCAAACCAATCTACCAAATTTCTACATGTAAAAACATAAATGGGTGGGGGCAGAGCTAGACCGCCGACCAGATGCATGTAAAAAAGCGAGCTCCGGGACTTTGGGTCTTAAAACAGCAGACCCATCCGGGCAACAAGCTTGCACACAGCCTATGGTACCCCTAACACCCGGGGGACACCTTACTCAAACTAATCGGAGCCCGAAATGGCAAACAGAGGCGTACCACAATGGGGCAAGGGGGAGACCGCCGCTCTCCCTGCTCCACAAGCTGAAGACACTCGCACACGCTCCTTCCTCCCCCCTGGACCCCTGGGGGTAATCCCGGTCCCCGCTGACCTGCTGAGAGGGGGTCTTGGAAACCTGGTGGGAAACACTAGCCGACAACGAGACCCTGCTGCTTCCAAGATGGCGGACACGCTCACGCTGGCATCTACCGGGAAATTCAGCCACTTAAGAAGCCCAACATCCTCACTGGACGTTATCTTTGCCAAATTCTTGGCTAAACTGAAGGCACACATGGCAACCCCCACCTCCCCAGCAACACTACTGTCAACGCAAAATCGGGAGAAAGCGCGGGGTAAGCCGCCTCCAGGCAACAGCACTGAATACGCTCCTGTCACCCCCAAAGAAAGCCCGCCTGGACCGAGGGCCACCGAGGGCTTGTCCAGGAAGCACCGACCACTTAAGCGGAGGCCCGCCGGACAGCACCGGTGCCACACCATCAGGTCCTCCTGCACTCCCGCTCCAGGGAAGGACTCGGACTCACAGAGTATCCAGGTCAGTGGTGAAAGGGTTAATTGATCCTTCTCCCTTGGAAGTGTTTTTCTCCTCTATCTCAGTGTCAACTGTCGCCACTCCAGCAATATTTACTGCCCTGTCTTCAATATTGAGGGAGAACTTTGAAAGCATACGACACACACTGAGCTCATTCAAACTTGCTCGATTTAATGCCACATTTTGCATTTCTTATATAGTACAAATTACGTGCAAAGAGACAATGCCCATTCCAATAAAAAGGAAACTAAGAAGGGAAACTACAACAGATGTTTCCCCTTTAAAAATAACATTTTTGGGGGGGCGTGGCTACCCACGGAGCAAGATGGACACCTAAAAACTTTCTCCAGCACCTGGACACCCAATCCATCATAATCCACAAGCACAACACTGCATCCGACATTAGGAATACATCATGTCCCAATATAAAAACAAGAAGAGCACGGCGAAACCGGATAAGCTAAATTTTTTCGGCCCCAAAAAAACTCCTGCGACCGCGGCTGGCAGGCCTAAAAAGCTGCCGGCGATTCTGAATCTAATGATGGTGCGCAGAACAGTGACCCAGGCACCCCCACAGAAAATTCACAAATAACAAAATCAGACCTTACAGCAGCCCTGGAGGTCCTTTCAAATAAATTGATTTCCACATGGCAGCACACGGCAGACTCTCTGACGAAGGATATTCAAGAGCTGGACAAACGAATATCGCATATGGAAGACAAGTGTGATGAATTCGCTACAGCCCACAATGACTTAGCCTCAAATGTCGAACAAATGTCAGTAAGGATTAACCTCATGGAAGAAAAAATGGCGGACATGCAATACCGTACCCACCTAAACAATTTGCGACTCCAGGATTCCAGAAGAAATAACAAATAACTACTTACCATCATATGTTTGGAGTCTTCTACACGCCTATGCTCCAGAGATCACAGCAGATATGCTGTTAGTCGACCGAGTCCATCGCATCCCGAAGCCCCGTCATCTTGCACAAACAGTACCTAGAGATGTACTATTACGCACCCATTATTTCCACATAAAGGAACGCATACTAAAGCGCAGCAGACTAAGAGCTAAACCGCCGGATGATTACCCCACAGTAAAAATGTATGCAGATCTCTCAGCCACCACTCTCAGGAAGAGGAAAGAATTTCAACAAGTAACCAGTACACTGAGAGCACACGGCATAAGGTACAGATGGGGCTTCCCCACGAAACTCATCATTACGAAAGATGGAGAAACAACGGTGCTGTCCTCACCAGAAGATGGCTTAAAGAAACTACAAGTCTGGGAACTAACAGAGGAA